CACATATGTTACTATTTTATAAATTACTTAATAAAGATACAAGCAAGACTTCACCTTAAAAAAAAAAAAAAAAAAAATAATAATTCAATATTATTAATAATACAATATATAAAAAAAATAATAATATTTCTTATTAGTTAACTTCTAAGTTGTATTTAACTTAAATACTTTATTATGATAAACAAAAGAAGTAATAGAAATTTTTATATAAAAGAATATATCTCAATTTTTAAACAATTTAGCTTATATAGAATTTTAATAGACAAAAATACTAAAAAAGAAAAAAATATTTTAATATATATATCTTATTGGAATAAAAATAAACAAGAACCTATGCTTACTATTCTTAATATGAAAATTTTGTATTATTGTTCAGCATTTATAGTATCTTTAAGTATTAGAAAAGCTATTATAAAAAATTTGTTAAATTTAGCACAATATTAAATATTGGCTTACTAATAATATAGCTTATATATTTGAATTAACTATTAGTACTATTGTTAAATTTAATTATTAATATTTAGCAAAAATAACTTGAATTTTTTTGTGGTCTATATATGTTATATATAGCTTTAATATATTTTAATAATACAATATTTGGAAAAACTAAATTACTTTTAAAAATTTGTTTAGAATCATATTTGTTTAATATTCTTAATTTAGTTTATTATCTTTACTGTGAATATAACAAATCTAATAAAGGTAATTTATTAAATATAAAAGCAGAAAAATTAATGAATTATATAAACTATTATTAATTATAATCATAAAAAATATAAAAAACCTATCTCAATCTGTTAGTTATATTAATTAATTATATTTAAATTAAAGAGATATTTATTTACAATTTTCTAGTTAGTTTATTAACCAACTAGAAAAAACAAGCAAAATTTCTGAATACTATTTAAAAAAAATAAAAATTATTTTATAGTTTTTTATAAAATAATAAACTAAATATAAAGATTTAAATAATAGTTTTGGCAAATAGTTTTATAAAAAAATTATGTTTTTTTTAATTGATAAAAATACAAATATTACAAATTTTTCAAATGATTTAGAGTAAGTAAAATGTCAGATAAGGTTGAACAATGGATTAATGATTTGCAAATAATATCTAAACATCTTAATGACCTCTTTGTAAAAGAAATATTATTAGTTTATGAAACTTTATCTACAGATAAGTTTAATAATTTAAATAATAAAATTGAATAGAGATTAGTAAAAACATTAAATACATTTAAATGATATATAAATTTATAGATACATTTACCTCTTTTTATATGCCAATTTAGAAGAATTCATGATTCTAATTTTGCAGTTGCAAATATTAAGATTGTACTAAATACTTATTTATTAGAAAATATCATCAAAATATAAAAAAAATATATAAATAAATTAGTAAATAATATAATAAATAAGAAATAAAAATCTTTTAGATTATTTGAAAATTAAAAGATAATAATTTTTAAAAACAATTTTTGTTTTTTTTTACAATCTATCTACACCAAATTACCCAATTATTTATTAATATATAATTTTATTAAGTACCAAATTTGATCTATAATCATTTATCATTAATATTTTAAAAGTATATTCAACAAATATAATCTTAAAACACATCCTAATATATCTATTAATTTATAAAAATCAAGAATTTAACTATTAGGATCTAAACCTTTTTAAACCTTATTTATTTAAGAAAAACTATCAAAAATTCATTTAAAAACTAAACAGAAAAGAACTATTGTTAAAAATAAATTAATTAATAATAAATTAGCAACTAAAATATTTTAAAAATTTCTAAAATCCTTAAAATAAAAAAATACATATATTTTACATAATTAGATTCTTTATTCAACATTTTTAAAATTCAACAATTTATATAAATTAAATGATAATATAGACTGTAAAATCCTTATATTACAATTCTAGATAGATTTGTAGCCTAATAACAATAATAAATTTTATTTTTATAATATTTAAGTAGCTACAGAACTAATATAATAAATAGATAAATAATTAGATAAACTTTTCTATTATATTAATTTATTAAATGTGTCATAATTGAAGTGATTAGGTTTTTGTTTTTTATGAATAACAGTTTGCACACACCTATGAATCACAATAATAGTACAAAATGTACACAATTTTATATATAATTATTTTCTTATACAATGATTAAAAAAAAAAGAATTTGTAAAACAATCATAAAAAAAATCTGAATATTAAATTTATTATATTGTCATGAGGTAATAGGGACAAGTTCAAGGATGAAACAAATATAACAAATTGTCACTTCAAAATCATTGATGTTATATAATGTTACTCTAAAACAAAGTGAGGTGGTTACAATTTAGCAATGATTAAGATGGCTTTTAAGCAAGTCACCAGGTAATGATAGGGACTTTTTAAAGAATGTATGTCTCTTGGTACTTTTATATAATTTATAAACAGTTTTATCTATTATTATTTCCTTTTTATTACAGAAGTAAGAGAGATAAAAGATCCTCTCTTTTTTTAAAGGTGAAAAGGTGAGCTTTTTATAACAAATTTGTCAGGAATGTATATTGGAAAAATTTTCACTTTTACTATACTAATGTTTTCTTTTTCTTTTAATTGCACAATTTCATCCTTTGACTCATACTCCCTTATTTTCATCAACTGCTCTATTTCGTAGGTGCCGCTCATAGAGCTACAGCTGCATAACCAAAATGTCTTTGCGGTATTAAGGCTCTGCTGTAAGCCCGTGAAAGTAAGTTATCACACCTTTTCCTTGTTGCGCGTCGTGGTGATTCTACTAAGTCTTTCTTCCTTTTTAGGTTAATTATAATTGTTGCATGTGGGGCCCAGGCTTACAATCGTGAGTGACTTGTTCCGAATCTTGGGGCTTCTCTTGCATACAATGGGGAGAAATCGGGTTACACGATCGCTGGTTTTGGGTCACGATCCAGATTGCAATTCCGGTCACGTTTTCGGTCACGTTTTCGACGATCGTTGCGCAACGGGTTTCCCTAACAATAGATTTGATTTACATAGTGCATTGGACACCCCAATAATATAAGCATGCGGATAATCAATTACTTTTTATAGAAGTTCATTTTTTATATAAATTCATCTAATTTAGGTGATCTTTACAATTTACGTTTTTAATTTGTTCAAAATGATATTCTTACCCAATGAATGCCTTTTTGAAATATTTAATAATCTTAAAACTAATTATAGAACCTTGTTTTCATGCCTTCTTGTAAATCGTCAATGGTGTAGAAATACTGTTCCAATCTTATGGAGTGAACCATTGTTGCATTGTTATAATAAAGAATTAATAAGAATGTACCTTCTGTTATTAAATGACGAAGAAAAAGAATCATTAACTCCATTAAATATATTACTCCCAAATGGACCAAAATTATTATTTGAATATACATCTTATACTACATCAATCAGTTATGATAAGTTAGAAATAGGTGTTGCAAATTGGCTTGGCCGTGAGGGATTCGAACGTATCAGTGTTTCGGATTTTATTTATTTTGGATATGAGTATGGTACCTATGAAGAATATGAAGAAATAGAAAATACAATTGAAAAAGTTAAATGTTCGATAACTGCAATGTTATTACGAACAAGTGAAAGAATTAAGTATTTTAATATAAATGACTCCATCAATAATATTGGAATTGTAATAATAGAAATTCTTCATAAAAACACTATCACTTCATTAGATCTTTCGGATTATTCTGCTTTTAGTTTTGAAGAAATAAAATCAATATCAGATACTCTTCGGAGAAATGCTTGTCTAACCTCATTAAAGCTATTTGATTGTCAACTTGGGCCTAAAGAAGCAAAATTACTAGCAGAGGGACTTTGTAAAAACTCAACCCTATCTTCTCTAAATGTTTCATATAATAAACTTGGTGACGAAGGAATAAAAGCACTTGCAAAAGCTCTTTACAAAAATACAACTTTGACATCTTTAAGTCTCAGTTATAATCAATTCGGTCTTGAAGGAGTGAAAGCACTTGCAAATACCCTTTATAAAAATATTTCTCTGAGAACTTTGAAACTTGATAGCAATAAATTTGGTATTAATGAAGGAAAAGTATTGGCTGAAGTTCTTCGCAAAAACAATACTATAACCTCCTTAAACCTTTTTGGTAATAATTTTGGTGATGAAGGAATAAAGGTGATATCAGAGGCACTTTTCGTGAATACTGCCTTAAATGATTTAAACATTGGAAGCAATAAAATTTGTTTGGAAGGATTAAAAGCAATATCAGAAGCACTTTGTAAAAATATCACTTTAACTTCTTTAAACCTTCGTCATAATAAACTTGGTTTTAAGGAGGACAAGTCATTAGTAGAAGCTCTTTGTAAAAATACCACTCTAAGAGATTTAAACCTTTGTGGAAACCAACTTGGGTCTGAAGAAGCAGAAATTTTAGCCGAAGCTCTTTGTAAAAATGCTAATTTAACTTCTCTAAATCTTAGCACAAATCTAATTACTTCTGATGGAGTAAAAGCAATATCGAAGGCTCTTTATGAAAATACTACTTTAACTTGCTTAGATATTAGCGGTCATAATTATATACTTTCTGGGGTAGAGGAATTATCACATGCCCTTTGTAATAATAATACGTTAACTTATTTAGATCTTTCTTCCTGTCGACTTTGTTTCGAAGGAATAAAAGTATTAGCGAATGCATTTTGCAAAAACACTACTTTAACTAATTTAAATCTTACTGATAATAAATTTACTTTAAAAGAAGGGCAGATATTGGCAGAGGTTCTTTGCAAAAATACTTCTATAACTTCTTTAGATCTTAAGCATAATAAACTTGGCAATGAAGGAGTTAAAGAATTAGTAAAAGCACTTTATATAAACACTACGTTGACTAATTTGAATATTTGTTATAACTATCTTAGTTCTAAAGAATACCAAAGATTAGCAAAAATTGCATACAAAAATAATACCAGAATTTCAATACAATTTGAAAGAATAGTATAGTTAATTGGTAAGATATTAATTTATAAACTATATAAATGAATTTGGTTTTAATTTAACTAAAAGTATTATAATAATTGATTTAATTTAAATCTGTATAATCCTTGAACCAAAAACAAATTAAAATTATTTTTGTTTCTCATTTTCTTGTAACTACATCATAGTAACACGAATAGGTTTATTCCTTTTGCTATTAGACATCCTACGCTATATTTAACTAGCATCATTTGCTTTACTTAATTTCTATCATGTGCATAGTAGAACGTGCTTATTTTATCACACGCATGGGTTATTATATAAAAACATAAAATTTACTGAGATAGAATCAAATAATTGATTCAGCTTAATGGTCTAATATTTTTTACATAAGAATTGAGTACAGAATTATATTAGAATCAAACCTCCATAAATTAATAAAATGCTCTACATGAATGCACACCCTATTTTCAAAAAAAAATTTCCTATAGTCCTAAAACGGGTGCATTTACGGAGGGTTGAACCTGTAAAAAGCTTCAAATTAATCAGTAAACCAGAAGTCAATTCGGATGGAAACGATTAAACTAAACTAAGGATGCTCTGGTTTATAATCGCATCAACCATTTTAAATCAAAAAACATGGAGCTGGTAACCATTATTTTTCTTAGTCACCTTGATCGATTGGATTTCCAGCAAAATTGCCATAGTTAGAATAGTGATCTGGATGACTATAACAAATTTTTTTTATGCATTTGAGAAAAGTTGTTAAGCTCAAGATAATAACTCAAGATAATATTGTAGGATGTGTTTTATCTATAGATGCAGACATTTGAAGACGTATGGTTACGTCCATTTGACGTGTCATCATGTCAAAAGTGTCATAACAACGTAGCCATAATATCTGACCTTTGCGGTAACTTAGTTGCGGAATATAAAAAGTTACGGCAATACAAAGATGTTACAACACATAAAAAGTTATGTTATTAGAAAAATAGATAAAGATTGTTATATTAAACGGGTTTTTTTATTTAATTATTGGTCGATCATGAATTTATCCCGACAACTTATATAAAATAACAATGGTAATAACTAGACAGTATACTTTACACTTTGCAACGTAGAGTCAAGTATTTCATATTGAATAAATGACAAAAACTTTATGTCAAATGTTAAGACATAACGGTATTACGAGGATAAGTAAAATATTAAGAACTCAGCAAAGATAGATGTTACATCGGACGTAAGTTATAAGTTAAAATGCAAATCAGATATTACGCAAAAGTCAAATTTGCGACACAAGCCAAATGTTACGGCATGCATCAGTTATGGCCTTTTGACGCATCATAATATCATTGAGTTATGTCCAAATGCTTGCATCTATATTTTATATGTTAAAAGCGAAATCAAACATACACATGTGAATTAATATTCATTCCGTATAATTTATTTTTTTTAAAAAAAATTTATACTAATTGCAAAATAACCTAAATCTGTTTCTAATTTAAGAATGAGACATGTCAAATAGAACTCAGAACATCATACAAATAGGATAATAAGTAACTCTTTCCCCAGCCTTTCTTAATTCTTCTTTTAAACAATCTTTGTTACAACAAAGTTCATAACAAGAACCATTTGCAACAAATCCTTTAAAGGCCAAATTAGTTCCACTGAGAATTAAAACGATAGATTGATATTTATGTCAAGAGAATCTAATAATTCCTTTTCTCCTTTGAAATTAAGGCAATTATAACTAATATCTAAAAAAGTCAAAGTACAATTCTTGAGAAGAGTTTTTGCAATTGCCTTTCCTCCTTTAACACAAATTTCATTACTATTAAGATTGAGATGAGTCATAATGTTATTCTTGCAAAAGGCTTTTGCTATTGCCTTTATTTCTTCAAAATTAGGATGATTATAACTGATGTCTAAAAAAGTCAGGGTACTGTTCATACAAAGAGTATCGGAAATTGCTTTTCCTCTTTCAACGCCAATTCCACTACCACAAAGATTAAGATCTATTATAGTGATATTCTTGCAAAGGGCTTCTGCTATTACTATTCTACCATCAACTCTAATTCTATTACTACTAAGATCAAAATGTATTAAAGAGTCATTTTTGTAAAGGGCTTTTGCAAATGCATTTACACCCTCAGGACCAAGTTGATAAAACTGAGGTTTAAATTGGTTGAATTAATGTTTTTACAAAGAGATTCTGCGACAAATTTTGCTCCATAAAACCAAGCTTATTACAACTAAGATTCAAAGAAGTTAAGACATTATTTACGTAAAGAGCTTCAGTCGTTGTTTTTCCTCATAACCAATTTGTTGCTACTAAGATCCAAGAAAGTCAAGGTATTATTCCGGTAAATAGCATTTGCTAATTCTTTTATTCCTTCGAAACCAAGTTGATTTTTAGTAAGATTCAGTGAAGTCAGAATGCCGTTTATACAAATTATTTCTATTACATTTTTTACATCATTAAAAGTGTATTATTAGTAATGACTAAAGAGGTTAAATTCTTATTTGTACATAGAATCTCCAATAATGATTTTCTCATTTCATTAGAATCAAATTTATGTAATCAAGTTTTAGAGGAGTTAGATTGGAGTTTATGTTAAGGATTTCTATTCAATAAATGTCTAAATTTTTGAGTTTATTACATTTTCGAAGAAACATTTTGATTAACAGTATTAACTATTTCGTGGGAAACAATTGGATAATATGAGTTATGTGGAACTAATTCATATCGATATCAATAAAATGAATAATATACGAGTCATTTGTCGAAAAAATAGATTTATGAAGAATAAACAAAAAAAGAAGTATATAGAAAGTTTTATTAGGTTGTAGGTCTCCACTATTAAAAAATAATCAAAATCCCTTTATGTTTTAGAGAAGTTAGCATGGTAATAACCCAATCATATCTATCATTAAGAAGTCTCTATTACGCTAACTTCTCTAAAACAAAAAGGGACTTTGATTATTTTTAATTGTAGAGTCTAGTGCTCCAATCGGGTTGACCTGAATGACCCGAAAAAACCCCGGTTATAATGAATTTACTATATAGGTCATGACCCATCTAATAAATTTTATTATAACCATTGGTTTCGGGTCATTCGGGTCAACCCAATCGGAGCATTAGAGCCACTTGCTAAAGTATAGTTAATTCTGTTACAGCATTATTAGTATTGTACCGGAGGGGCCATCGTAGTGATGGTAATCAAATTCTATTCCTAAAAATTACTTTACATGCTGCCACTCATAATTTTTTTATGAATCTGGATTTTATATAAATATCTTGCAATTTATTGGTTAAAAAATTTTCTTGGCAGGATGGCCCGCCCGGTGTAAGAGGGAAAATTCGTCAAAGATCGATGACGAAGTGGTTCGGGTTGATCTAGCCAAAAATAGCTACGAACTACCAAAACTGCCAGATCTGCTAATAATGGCAGTAACGGTAGTTTCGTAAGTACTAGTAGTAACGATAGTAATAGTGAAAAAAACAGATATATCAGTAAAGTTCTATAAAATGAAAATGTATTTAAAGACTCGAAGTTTCATACAAAAATAAAGAACTCCCCTCTAGAGTTCAAAAAAACTACGAAATAATCATAGTAGTAGTTCCTTAAGTATCCTATACGCTTATAGCCTTCGTGTTATCGTATTCATCTTGTCCCCATGATTAGTAAAAACCCACTATCGATAATCCGCTAAAAGTAAAAAGAAAGATCTTATTAGTAATCGACCCCTTTTATACAGAATTAATAAACTGATTAAGTTGGTGATTGACCCTATTGTTAAATAAACTTACATACGTAATCGCCCCGAATCGTGATCCCGTGACACATGACCTCGAAAATTCGAAATCTGATAGTCGGTTAGAACCCAGGTGTACTAGAACAGTAGAGAAGCTAAAATAGTAGATATTGGAAGGAGGAACTAAAATGTAGAAGCAAGTCTTAGTACTAACAAGAAATCAAATAATAAGAGTAAGGTCAATCCAGAGTCTTGACTCTGTGAAACCACCGTAATCAAAACCACCCTATCCTCAGACCAAACTAATTCATGCCTCAATTGACACCTACCAATTAGGGTGTAGCAAGAGAGATAGGTTCTATTAGATTCAGTAGTTCTGTAACCAGATTTAAAGTAGAAGTAATCCCTCATTAGATCAGTGCTTGTAACAATACCAAATTACATCATCACAAATTGGTGGTGACTGTGAGATCAAACTGAAAATTCGACCGCAATACCTATCGTGTAGTAAAATTCAAAAGATATACGACACCAATCACATTAAAAAGATAAAATAAGAATGTCAGTTAGAGACCAATTCGAAGATGATCAGACTGTTAATGGGGATGAATATAACAATCAACAACATCTCAACCAGACCACCCTCCTTCTACAGAAAATAGCTCAAGTATTTAGAGAAGTCACAATGCATGATGTTTGGCCCAATGAATGTGAGAACAACTAGGTCCATGTGAAGACGTTTCAAGGGAAAGAAGATGAAGACTCTGTTGAATGAATTGAGGCCTTCAAAAGGGCTGCAGACACAAATAACTGGTCTTTGAGAAAGAAAATAAAAATCATGTTAGGTCATTTATCTGGAATTGCAGCCTGTTGGAACAATGACAAACAAGACGATCTTTTGTTCTGGGACAACAAGGACAACCCCAATCATAGCTTTGTTCAATCATTCACCAAGTATTTCGTGACCCCAGAACATAAACATCAGTGGCAGATCGAACTAAACTCCCTAGCTCAGAAAGAAAATGAAAAAGTCGATAAATATGTCTATAAATTTAAAAAATTACTGAAAAGAGTCAACTCAGACAAAGACCTACTCGATACCTATGTAGTTAGAATGTTTTTAGAAGGTCTCCATGGAAAAACAACTGCACTAATATCTGTCAATGACCCTGAAACACTGGAAGAAGCAATTACCACAGCAAGAAAGATGGAAGCTAAAAATTATTATAAGCATAGAAAAAATGAAGATGAACCTACCAGTCAACTTATTGACAACCTGACCCAAAAATGCAACAGATGGCTACCAATTATGAAAAATTAACAACTATACTTGTCACTAGAGCTGAAATCAGCTCCTGCCAACTACAAAGAAGACAGTATCAACCATGGCAACCAACAAATAGAGGAATTGAGTACTTCAACTATGGAGAAAGGGGACACATAGCTTGAAATTGTCTTTCCAAACAAAATTGTAGGCCAAGAAGACCCTTTACAAGCCCAGATAGAAATAGACCCCAATATTGGAATGTTAACATGTGTGATATTTACTTTCCTGAACCCGAAAAAGATATTTATGCCATTAAACAATGTGAATCACCTGAGGCAGAACACGGTTGAGAAGAGCGATTAAGAAAAAGAGGCACTTATAATTTACACCAGAATCAAGAAACCCCAACCCAACCTGCCCAACAAGGTCAGCCCATTCCAATGGAGGTAACTTCTGATGAACAAACTCCAATAGTGTCCCAACTAGCTGTACCAAGAAGGAAAAGAGGAGCTTCCATAGTCAATTTTGCATCTAAGTATAATGTTGCAGAAGATCTTTTAAATCAACGAGCCAACACCACATATGTCCAAATGCTACAAATTCCAAGACAATGACAAAATCTTGTCTAAGCATTGCAAAGACCCTTAATCCCAGCAACTGAAGAATCAAATATCATTGACAATAATTACAATAAGAAATCTATAGCCACTAAATGTTATGTCCAGATACAAAATAACCCAATTTTAGTGGTTTTGGATTCTGAGGCTGCAGTGAGTATTATTTCAAAGAAATTAGCAAGAAAACTTAATCTTGAGATTACCGAACTCTTCAACACGGTAGTCGTAATCATAAATAGCACTCGAGAATGAGTACTTGGGAAAATACCAGATATGAAAATGGCAGTCAGGAATGTAATAATACCCACTAGCTTTCAGGTTATTGAAAACCCTGAAAAAGTAATGCTTCTAGGGATGGATTGGTTCCAGAAGGTTTGTGCCCAGCTTTATTTTGATAAGAGAAAATTATTTCTACAGTATTTAGGTAGGAGCATAGAAGTACCTATCCACCAAGCTAAGAAGGATTATTTAGTAGCATCCCAAGAAATAAATAAAGACAATGAGAATGTCTTCTTCAATACTTATGAAGAAGAAGAAACTGAAGAAGTAGAAAGCTATTGCACTGATGATGCAACAAATGATGAAGTTAAAGACCCTGTAAATGCTGATCTCTGACACATACAGCCCCACTATATATCTAATGGCTATTGAAGAATTCCCAATCTCTGAAGAGCGTAAGGACCTCAACTTGATCTCTAAAACAAACATAAATAAATTAGTAAAAGTAGAATCCTTAACTAATATGCAAAAAGAAGAGGCAGCACTTATCTTAGAAGAATTTAGTGAGCTGTTCTCTACAAGATTAGATTGGCTGGGGTATGTGGCTGAAGTACACCATGAGATAGATATGGAAAACGCAAAGCCAACCAGACAAGCTGCGTACCAAGTAGCACCTGATGAACAAAACTTTTTAAATAAGGAGATTGATAAGTTATTAACCAATGGGCTAATATATGAAGTTAAAAGCCCCTGGACTTCCCTAAAAGTTATAGTCCCAAAATAAAATGGCAAGCTGTGGCTCTGCATTGACTATTGCAAGCTCAATGCTGTTATCAAGAAAGATGCTTACCCTCTCTCACATATTGATGATATGTTGGAGACTTTTGGAAAAGCCAGTTGGTTTTCTAGTCTAGATCTAGTCAATGGTTATTGGCAAATAGAGGTGAAATCTGAGAACCAGGAAAAAACAGTGTTTGTTACATGATGAGGGGTTTATGCTTTCAGGATAATGCCATTCAGATTGTGTAATGCACCAGCAACATTTCAGCGAACAATGAACCATATATTAAATGAACTTATAGTTTAATGTGTAGCTGTATATCTTGACGATATAATAATTTATTCTAAAACTTACCAGGATCACTTAAATCACATATAGGAGGTATTCACAAAAATTAGGATGGCAGGATTAAAGCTAAATCCTGAGAAGTGTGACATGTTTAAAGCTAATATCCACTTCTTGAGGCATGTAGTAGGAAAGGATAGGATTCGACCTAATCCAGAAAAGATAACAAAGATCAAAGAATTTCCAACCCCATCAACTTGCAGCAGCTACAAGGATTCAACAGCCTCGCATAATATTACTAATGCTTTATCCAAGGATTCGCAACTATTACTAAACTCCTACATAAACTGTTGGAAAAAGGAGCTAAGTACGAATGATGAAAAACCCAAGAACAAGCCTTCTAACTATTAAAGACCCACCTAATAACTGTCCTAATTTCAAGGTACCCAGACTTCTTTCAAACCTTTTACCTTTATATGGATGTTTCTGAGGTTAGACTTGGCACTGTACTGACACAAAGAAGCCAAGATAAATGAGAACATGCCATTACCTACATCAGTAAAAGTCTAACCAGGACAGAGAGAAACTATGCAGCAATCGAACTAGAATGCTACACAGTAATTTGGGCAGTAGAACATTTCCATCACTATCTGGGTTATAAACCATTTTTAATAGTAACTGATCATGCTGCATTAAAATGGCTACAAAACACCATACCAAAAGGATGCAAAGCCCAATGGATTCTGTGGTTGCAACCCTATAACTTTACTATAACACATTGGGCTGAATGCAAGCACAATAATGCAAACACCTCTCCAGAATACTAATGAGTTCAAAAGAAAAAAAAAATACAATACAAGATCCTTCAAACCTTTTGGAAGCCGTCGAAGCTGTTAAGATATTAGAAATATTTCAAGCAATAGCAAAATACTACCAGCCAGAAGAAATTAACGAAGAATTCAATTTAAGAGACTGAACTCCAGGTTTTGAAAACAGTGAAGTTGGAGAGTTGACTAAAGCAAACCTAAATCAATATTTAGAGCAAAGAAGGCAACAGGAGTTGATAATTCAACAACTGGATATGGAATTTTATATAAAGTTACTTGGGCATACCAAAACAGATACTATAGTGCGAGAAGGACTAAAGATAGTGAGGACAACTCTATGAATATTAATAAGAAATATTTAATGACTCACCAAAATGGACTGATGAAGAGCTGGAATTCGACAGTAACCATGAAACATATGACCAGAGTTACACTCATAATTTCTGCTTGGGTTATAGTGAATATTGGTGAAATACCAACATTGACAAGGGAGAGTACTATAACATCAAGGTCGACCTGGAAGACTCTGAGTGGCTCTTATCTCTAGAAGATGACACAGGAATGGACTGAGATTACTAACAAAAAAAAAACCTGTAGCTATAATAGACCTGACAATAGAGTATGGCTGGTCAGAATAGGATAGAGCAAGTTGTGGGGCTCTAACCAAAATGTGAAACTTCCAAACAACTAGCAACTCGATATTCATTAATTGGATATGAAATTGGAATTAAAAAAGATGACTAATGACAAATAGGAAATTCTGACTATAAGGGGATCAAAAATACACATAAACTTAAAAAAGAAAAAAGAACGCAATACTCATCAAGGTTCAAACCTAATGATAAAATCCAATCCAGTCCAGGTCATCAGTATCCTGGCAAATATAAAGAATTGGTACCAAGAAGAATGAACATTGGCTTCAATAAAAAAAACTTGACATTATAGAACTATCAGAGTACTTCATCTTGAAAAACTATATCCAATACAGACAAGTTTCCCCAAACTATGACAAGAATCAGTGTTGAAGACTGGAGTTCCAAAGTAAATATTTTATTATTAAAGATGACACGCTATATAAAAAATGCAGAAATATCCAAAACAGACTGTTAAAGGTTCTTCAGGACATGAAACTGAACCAATACTATTTCAACTCCATAAACACCCATTAGGGGCACACTTGCAATATGTTTATTCACTTAAATGATCATGGTTTGTTAGATGTACCAATGACTAGTGGACATAACTTATCAGATTTAGTTAAGTTTGTGCATAGTAATATGGTTACTCTTATTTTATTCTTAAAAAAAAAAAATTTAAAAAGTTTAAAAAAGTTAAAAAAAAAATTTAAAAAAAATCAGTTTTTTTTTTAATATTAATTTTTTTTAAAAAAATTTTTTTTTAAATTTTTTTTAAATTTTTTTTTTTAGTTTTTAGTTTTTTAAAATAATTTTATAAATTTTTTTTTAATTTACTATCTTTTTTCCAACTAATTTTTTTTTTTAGAAAGTGTTTGATTGAGAAGCAACTTATAAAATAGACCCATTTTATCAGCATTGTATATATCTTCTGAATCATAATGGGAGAAAGTTCTTGCAGTTTATATGCTCTACAGAAAAGTTTCAAGGGATGCACTTGCTGCTTTGCTGTGCATTGTGATTTTTCTTAATCTATTGTTTTTTTAAACCTAGTAATAGAGTTGAAAATTATATTTTATAATTTTACATTTTATATAATTTTGTGTAAATTCTAGTAACATGGATTTTATGTAAATTTTACATATAAGATAAAGTACTAGCATTATGACTTTGTATAAAGTTTACTGATCAAAAATTGATGACATATAATCCAACCAATCACATAGAATCATATATAGTGTGAGCCCTGAAATCGGTCATGTTTTCATGTGACTAATCATTGAAATTAGGACCTGTCGCCTACCTGAGTAACTGGTCACATGAAAAGTAAGAGAAATCTTACTTTTCTTACTTTTATTACTTTAGTTACTTTGGGCAGAATGACAGTATAGAAGGCATTAGGTTTTTGGTTATTATGGTTAGAAAAGAGGCTTTAGGGATGAAGTATTGTAAATAGATAATGTAAAAGAAATAATCCTCAAATGTAAATAAAAGTTTTATTATAAATAAAGAGCTTTCTGCCCAAAGGAGAAAGCAACAAGAAGAAGCAACACCCCTAAGTAAATACAGTTGCACATAATAAACTTAAGTGTCAGACCCATATTAAAAGTGGAACTATAATTTAACACAAACTGAAAACTATCATTAAAAACCCATCGTTGTCTCTATCGTTTGCCCCTTTGAATCTATTAGAGCCGCAATTACATTCGTTTGCTATAAGTCACGTGACCAAGCTGTTAATGCAAAAGAAGAACTTCAACCTGATTCAACGTATCATAACCCAGGTTAAGAAAGTAGAAGGAAGACAAGAGAAAGCAAGGGTTAACAGAAGTATAAGTTGAAGGAAAAGACACAAAGAGAAGAGATGAGTACTTACCTACAGATAAACCACTAGCCAAATCTAACATGCCTATTTCGACTTAGCCACCATAGATTATGTGAGAGTTGGATTAGAGTAGAGACAGAATCACCAAATTTCCAAATTACAATAGTATAATCTCATTTTTTACAAATTACATGAAAATCATTTTACTGAAACTTATACAAGATAATGAAAATTATACAAAATTATGATAATTTTCAACTCTACCTAGTAATCCACTCATTTGAAAATGTTAAAGACTCTTTAGATATAGTGAATGATTGTGCAAATTGACAATCTTTTTCTTTTATTAGCAAGTCTGATATAATTATTTCTTTAGCTAAAATCTGTTTTACCTACAAATTCATTGCAAGTCCCAACTTCAGATGCTTTACAAAAAGATAACAGAAAGTATTTTTAGCTTGTACATCATCTTAACTTGTTGATACTCATTAGTTTTTTTTAGGATTTTTAATACAGTTGACTAATCAATTCTCAATTCAGGATAACGGTTTATAAACTCATTTGCAATCTCATATTGCACATAGTTTGGATTTTTTTTAGCAAACTTACAGTTTTTTTTTTCTGTTTATCACTTATATAACAATGTGTTTTTTTAAATGCTGGTTCAAAAGACATAATTTTGGCTATTGTAAATTTAAAAAAAATGGTATATTCACTAGTATTTATTTTATAGTTTATTTATTTATCTATTTATTAAAGCAAAAATTTTTTTAATGAATTTTAGATTTTTATTTTTTTTTATATATAAGAAATGTAGTTTATATTCAATCTATAAATGTACAATACAATAGCACCATTCATTTCTAACTATTAGATATCTAATATAGAAATAACTTCTAAAACAATGTGCATGCATAGTGCTCTTTTAGAAATTATTTCCAAATCAGCTAAATAGAGCTATAAACTGTTATCTCAAAATACTATGTATTGTTTGACTAGTATATATGCATACTAGGGCAAAAAATATCTATTGTTTTAGGTGTTTTTTGATACATTATCATAATGAATAATTGAATGACCAAAAATGAATAGGTATTTTTTTTCCTGTTAGTGATGATGTTATATATAACTGTATAATTAGAAATATATATAAGCATATAATAATATATCAGTAGGTTATACTATCTACAGATAGTTAAGGTTACAGTAAGAACTATACTTCATGTTAGTGTGTCAGAGTTGAATTAGGGTATAAGTTTATATGACTAATTTAGGTATTAGTCTAAATAGTCTGATTAACTACAATATATATAAGCATAAATGCTTATTATTATATATCACTAAGTTTATTAAATCGATTATATTTTATGTTAAGTTGAATTAGAGTATAAGTTTAGGATCTGTATTATTTTACTGACAATCAAGTTAACAACAGTACTTTTTACCAACAACTATTTCATCAACAAGATTATTTCACCAAAGGACAATTCATCGACAAGGTTATTTCACCAAAAGTACATTTTACTGACAAGTTTATTTTATATATTACACTAACCTTAACTCTAATTCTAAACCTGACCTAAATAACAATAACCAGAATTACTTTGTTGGTGAAATGACTGTCAGTGAATCATACTGTTGGTGAATTGATTGTTAGTGAAACATACTGTTGGTAAAATAAATGAAACCCATAAGTTTATATAACTAATTTAGGCATTAGTCTAATAAATCTAATTAACCACAATACATATAAGCATAATAAATGCTTATTATACATTGCTAAATTTATTAACTCAACCATACTTCTTTATATAAGACTAGTGATAGGTTCCAAACCTAGTAGTTTTTGCATATGCCATAGGCAAATTTAGTTTTGGACTTAGAATTTCAGCAGCACTTTGGCAAAGTGTTTGAAATTTTTTTGGTTTTAATTCCTAATTGCCTTGATGTCATTATTTCTGTAGAGTATATCAGAGCAGCTCCCAAAGTTCAGCAGCACATTTTATTTTGTCACATAATAAACCAGTAGTAATAATTTATAAAATTGTCACAGCAATGTTGACAATCAAAAGTGACAAATTAGAATATGCTGTAACTGATGCAGCAATTTTATAGATTATCACCTGAACTTTGGAGACTGTCCTGATATACTCTATTTCTGTAAGCAAGCTATAAATAGTTTGGCCCTATCACTACATAGAACTTATTAGCAATATTGTACTTATACAATTGTTTATATGTAATAGAAACTGAATTACCATACCCATATATTATACAATACAGCATTTCATTGTTTAAAATCAATATAATGCAATATTTTTTTACTATAAAATAGAGAACAAAAGATTCCAATCTGGTAAATATAAATTCACCAATTGTGTGAAAGCATATTTATCTATAGTTCTGGCAATTTATAATCACCAATCATAGGAATGTTTCAATTTTCTCATGATTATAATTGACCAATAAATTAATGTATTTCAACATACTATGCCAAAATTACAGTATTTTTTTTAAATCACTAAAACTTTTTATAGAAAAAAAATTTTTATACATAGAACTGAGCTCTATGAAGTTACTAGACAGTTTTTGAAAAAAATGCATTTATAAGGATTTAGTGAATTGAATATTGTTTTTTTTTTCGAATCACTATAACTTTTTACAAAAAAATTTTTTCCAAAAAATTAACTGTTAACTTTATAGAGCTCAGTCCCATATATAAAGTTATTAGCAAATTTTTTTTAAAAAAGTTTTTTTATAAAAAGTTTAATGATTTAAAAAATACTGGAATTTTAGCATAGCATGTCAAAATATATTAATTTATTAGTCAATTATAATCATGAAAAATTGAAAATTCCCTGTGATTGATAATTAAAGATTGCTAAAACCATATTAAGTATGAACTATTGTACTTAGGTATATATATTCTGTAGATAAAATCCAGATAACAATTAGATACAATATGTGGCATATATAATAAAAGGTATAAAGAACATTATATATAAGATGTATTATTAAAAAAAAACTTTTATATAGTTACTTTTTTTTATTTAAATATAACTGTGATTATATAAAGAATATCTCTATATTAGTCACACCTCTATATAATCACAGTTTTTTGTATCCCAAAGGTGTGACTATAGAGGAGTCTGACTGTACTACTAAAAATATTGTAATAACCAAAGTAGTAACTATATTGAAAATTAACTTTTAAGTAATATATAATGATAAGTTAAATTACTATAATGTTTTTTTTTTTTTTTTTTTTAATATTAATGGTGAGGCCATGCCTCTATCTTTATTGAATATTTATTTGAAATTTTTACATAAAGTAAAATTTACTATTAAAAATATTATAAAAAGAGTAGAAGCTCAGACTAGTTTATTTGCGACCTAAACTAACAGGAGTGGCCAAGGCTCACCTAGATTTGGTTGTTAGTAATTATATATGAGAGATCAGTTTGGTATTTGATCTATTGTATATACCAGGAGTTAATTTTAGAGTGAATTGAATTAGAAAAAAGAAATTGAGATAAGTGTGAAGTAAGGTTTGAAAGTAAGTTAAAAGTAAAAGGATGGGATGTTGATCTTGAAATACAGTAGAGGATCCAAATTTTGTGGTATATTTGTTGATTAAGATGAAGTAAAAATTTAATAACAAATGTTGTAGCTAATTTTTTGGATGATAAATTTGAAATAGTAAAAATAATTTCATATGGCACTAAGCCAGATAAGATTAAAAAA